TTTGTGCCAAACTGAAAAATAACGCTTTTATGAAGCGATTCACTTTTACGGCACAATTTTAAAATTCATCGCCTGTATTCTGTTCAGGTTTGCCCTAATAGGATTATTAGAGTCCTCACATGTAATTTACTACAATATCAGCTTAAGCTTTTAACTTTTATGCTGGCTTTAAAATAAGACCAATCAAATTATGCTAATGGAGCCGTTTTTCTTATATTCCAGTATCGTTGTAATTAGACTTTGATATACATAATGTAGAGCAGTGTTGGCTTAGTGGGTTCGGCGTGCAACTCTCATCCCTGAAGTCGTAGGTTACATCCCCGGCTGTGCACCAATGGAATTTCTTTCTATGTGCGCATTTAACATTCGCTCGAACGGTGATGGAAACGTCGCGAGGAAACCGAAACGTCTTAGACCCAAATAGTCGACGGCGTGTGTTAGGCACAGGAGGCTGATCAACTACTTGCCTATTAGATTGAAATAGTTTTGCAACGGATATTACAATAATGTTTTACAAGAAAATTACAAAATAAAAACAAATGACATATCCTTTTGGAGGCCAAGCAGGCATTAAATGTGCTTAATAACGATCAAATACTTAAAAAGCTTTTAAAGTTATTTCTTTAGTATCTATTTTTAGTTCTATAGTAAATATTTATGTTTCTTTACCGAGCTTTCTTCCAACCTCACTTTATACTTAATGTAAAGAAACAAGATATTTCATAAATAACCATTCATTTAAATAGCTGAAGAACTAAAAATACTGAACATTGTTCACTACAAAATATTTAAAGAACAGTTCTTTCTCATTTATTACATTATTTTTAAGCCGTGGCCTACAATGAAGAAAAGCTTTTTCTTTAATGTCGCAATTTAGTATACGTTTTTAAATATGTATTATATCAGCCGACGCGGCAACAATGTCTTACTATATAAAGATTATTACAGTACTAATATCTCTACTAATAATGGGGGTTGGTGGTAGAAGAGTGAGAATTAAGGATTTATATGTATTTTTAAAAAGCTTCTAAGAGCTCTCTGGAAAAGAGCGGATTGATGATATAGAAGCCTATGGAGAAATTTTGATTTGTGGATTTGTGAGTGGTGAAGGGGCTGCTCTCATTTCTGGAAAAGCAATCAATCCCCTCTGAGAACAAAGGGTTCAGAAAAAAGATCTATAAAGAAGGTAGCTCTGCGCAGGTTTAAATCTTACCTTAAAGATAGACAATGTGCATTAGCCTTAGTAGATGATGATGATGTTCAAAAATTAAAATCAGATTCTGGTAAAAACCAGACCTAACATTATTATATCTCATTTGGACAGGCAGCCCTCTGGCACCTACTTCCATTTTATTACAAATGAATGACCTGTGCAATGTGCAATGTGTAAACACTTTATTCATTCGCCGACGTATACATCTATTATATTTCATGCTAGCACTTGAGAACAGGTTTCCGTCCTAGAACAGAAAGGTACATATTGCGTTTCCATCTGTTCAAAACAATCGTGTGTTTTAACATAACATACCACACCAGCCCAATGACCCTACCGAACATTAGACTTCACACTTAAAAAGCATCGTGTCAATTACTAGATGCACAGTCTTCTGATATCAGAAAACTGATATCTTCAATCGACTGATGCGAGTCGCGAGTCCATTCCAAAATCTGTCTACCTACATGGGAAGCAATCCCGACACATCTAAGAACAGACGTTTTTTCTTCCCAACGCCAAAACGCCGGACTGTGTTTGTCAAACGTTTTTTTTTTGTATTTATATGGGGTCCCTTCCGTTACAATAAATTATCCCGATCTATGTATTCTGAGATATACATACTATCAAGTTATAAACTCAAAATTTCAAAATGAAATCTAGCCAATTTAGATTTTGATTCTACAGAAGGCTTTCTATATGTTTTGGCATGACTAACGACATAACGCACGCTTATATCAACCCTACGCCATACTCTCAAAACAGATTGTATTACACACACACACACATGAGCCATGAGTTACGTTATCTATTATAGATAGAACCTATTCTTAAATTATTCGAGTTTATATCAAAAGAGGAATGACTATTTAAATTCGCTGGAGTTAAATAACTATTGACGACATTGAATGCAGCAATTGAAATATAAAATCTAAGTTAAATTAAACCATTATCTTCCTAAAATTATTTTAGTTCAGCGAATATACGCCATGCTACTACTAATTTTCCATCACCAATTTTCTGCTAAATATATCTATTAAACGAGTCAAGACAATGTTGCTCTGAAAGCATTTACATTGGAAATAGCGACAAAATAACACTGAAAAGCACCCTGAGGGAAGCTACAGCTACTTAAAAAGAGAAGGAGCATAGAAAAATATGACGTTGATGTTAAACTACGTTTATTATTTCTAAGTCTTTTTATAAAAGCGTTGAAAAACTATGGTCTTTGTTCATTGATGTCTATTATTTTAACCAATGGCAAAACCCAATTTGTTTTGACTTCCAAACTACTTCATACTTTTTAATTTCCGTGAACTATCAAAATTTAAAACGTTTACTAGGTTTTAAAACCAATTGTGGTATTTATTTTGTTTCTTTTCTATTAACACAAAGAAAACACATTATAAAAAGGTACAATTGTGATTGTTTTGCAATACTTGTGATTAAAATATTTCTTGAGCAGTGTTGGCCTAGTGGCGACTCTCTTCCCTGAGGTCGTAGGTTCGATCCCCGACAGTGCACCAATGGACTCTCTTTCTATGTGCGCATTTAACATTCGCTCGAACGGTGAAGGAAAATATCGTGAGGAAACCGGCTTGCCTTAGACCCAAAAAGTCAACGGCGTGCGTCAGGCACAGAAGGCTGAGGCCTATTCTGATTACCAAATAATCATGAAATAGATACAGCAATCTGAGGCCCAGACCTAAAAAGGTTGTAACACCATTGATTTTTTAAATATTTCTATATTAATTAACTAAGTATGTAAGTAATGTTAAGTGAATTACATAATTAAATTCAAAATGAAAACTGTAACTTAAGTACATGAAACCCTATTCATCAAAACTGGTTAACTAAAGAAGAGCGAAGCTTCCCTGTCTTAGACTTACTGGGGAGGCCTCAATCTGAACTCTACTAATGTATAATAGCTAAATATTTTTTTATAAATAATTTCAAAATTCGTATTTATATGTATCTATAGTAGTAAATTATATTTTATGTAATACAAGCTCACTGTTTTGATTCTGGATGAATGAATGATTGGTTTGTAGCTTCAAAAGGCTCATACTTTATCCAAAAACAAACGCAGTAATTCAATAAGAAAATTCGGGACTTTATAGAACATAAATAATGCTAAAAATATTCATCCAATTTTCAAATCCAAGTAATTTGTCTTCGTTTGACAAACAAACTTTGTAACCAACCGCTTGACTACGTGATTTAGAATTTACGAAACGAAATGGTATTACAATATTAACCATGTATTAACAACCCTTATAATTTTTTCTTATGTGCGAATACTGTCAGGCAATAATGTTAATAGTTTATGTATAATTCGCCAATAGATAGTGTAAACCTTATAAAAATTAGAGTGTATTTTTAATGATTTTGCTAAAATCCACATATTATGTTAAGCTGCTGTAGAAAGCTAGTCCTACTATAGCCAGGTGTAGGTAGGTACAGAATAGAATTTAGAGAGAACATTTTTAATATATAGTTCCAAGGAAGTGTCCTCTAAAGGTAAGATTATAGTCTTCTATTTAAGCATATATCACATAGGATTGCCAGAGTACTTGCGTGAATTTATTCAAATCTTTTTGAAGTTATACTTCTTTAGGCGCGTTATGAAAAATTTATGAGAGTGAAATTTTACGATGCGCGCGCACCTGTGACACAAAATTAGGAGTGTGATTATAGCGTGCGCGAGCGAGATAGGAATAAGACAATCTACAAGTAAAAAGAAATAGAATATGCGTGAAGTTCGTATGCCAAGAATTTTGAATGACCATAATGACATTTGTCATTTACCTTTTAAACAAATAAAGGAGTTTTAATTATTTTTTCAAAGAAATTTAGCAATGCTTTTTGAATTATATATAATCAGAAGTGATTTAAATTGAATATTTAAACCAATACTAATTAATATTTGTGAAAAAACTGTGCTCATCAACCTTTCTAAGTGCTTCATTACAATTGAGGTTAACTATCAGTTTGTATTGTTATTATCGAGTAATGTTTTGATTAAAAAAATCTACCACATTGTTTAATCAAAACATGTAATTTTTCTCTAGCAAATATAAGGACAAGAGACAAAAAACAATTGATGAATCAGTGTAAGTGCACTAAATTGAATACAAAAAAAGAGTTGACATCTTATCGCTGTGAAACATCAAAAACTGGAGGTGGAACAAAGCCAAAGAAGTATAACTTCTTACGCGCGTACATAAGTACACGCACCCTTTTTTTTTAATTTTCCGCCTCTTACGGTACGGATACTTTCATTTCCCGCTTCTACTTCCGCTCAATAAATGGAACATCTAAAGTTTCCCCATAACATTAAAATAATAACTTTATTGTATTAATAGGATTTTCCTCAACGTTGCATTAAGATAACGGAAAACACAACTTTTCTTTCTTCGCTTAGATACGCATCGCTTCTTAGAATCTTTTATCCCGTTTTGTGTTCATCTTTTCTTACAATCTCTCGCAACTTAATTATTACATTATTATTGTTGCTCGGTTCTTTTCTTTCATTTGTATTCTGATAGATTGAAATACTTTGAAAAAGTACTTCGTTCGTAAAAGGTATTTGAATGAGATTTTTTCAGAATATTTGCATGTACCTTAAGTTTTAAAAATTGAATTCTACTTTAATTTAGCCTATTTAAGCTATAAACAGCTGTAGTTTATAATTGAATTTTATTTTTATTGCTTAACTCCACTCACTAGTATACTAAAGTAATGCAGTTAAGTACTAGCACTAAAGTGCTGCTAGAAAAACACGAGCTCAAAAGTTCCTTTCGAGTCTACATACTAGCCCCGTGATGTTATCTAGCTGGGCGGCCTCGACATTCGTGGTGAAGTAGCCTTTGGCGAAGAAGAAGAAGCTCTGGTGGATTTCAGGTTTTTTTAATTTGCTTTTGGCGCTTTTTGTGTACTTACTAAATGCTTAAAGATTATAAAAAATGTTGTAGCCCGCAGAAAGCTCTTGGGCCCTCAGGTTTCACTCCGTACACCTTACTCCGGGGATCCAGACTCGAGCCCGACTAAGAAATGGCTGTCGAAGGTTTTTCATTATACCCACCATGTGAGAATATTGACCATTCCGCTCCAAATTCAAATCATTTATACTCTTTAATCTATATAGAATTTAAACCCAACGTAAAATCATAAAAATAAAATGTATAATAGAAAATATTTTTTTATTAATGTTTTGCAGAACAAAAATCACTACTGACACTGATCACAAAAAGAAACGGGTACCCGTAAATAAATAAAACTCAATAACTATTAGTAATTGTATAACTATAATTATTTTCTTATAAATTTTATAACCTTTTAATTCTACGTCATAGTTCATTACACAACCGTTTCGATGACTACACAAATTTAAATACATTATGTTTAAGCATCCATAATTGAATGTACTAATGAACAGACAATCTATGTACATCTTATTTACATACTTATTCTATATTCACAGAAAAAATAATTTAACATCTGCTTTGTTATAAATAGGACATTGAAAGAAATCTTGTTATTGTTAACATAATTTAAGACTCATCAAAACAAGACGTCATTTATTATATTCAAATTTGCGAGATTTTAAAAATAAACAGATTTTTATTTTCTCATTTTGATCAAAAATTATAATTTTTATCACTCAATTTTAGAGAAATCATAGGCCAAAAATTATTATGATGACATTAAATAAATGATATAGAAAATGGCTCACATTTTCAATTAGTACAGAAACTTGATTCTTGCAATGTATTTGTGGTGTCATTAGGCATTTACGTGTACTAAAACAATCATAAAAAAAAAGATATTTTTATATAAAACTGTAAATTATTTTAAAAAGTCAGTGTTTTCAAATAAATAGACGAAAAAAAAATGCTCTGTAGATGGTTACACCATAGTGATACATATACCTAATAGTAGTAGTATCTAGAAAACATTCAATTCCTGAGAAATATTTAAATTGGTATTGTCTGAATCGGCTACCATCTACTATAAGAAAAACAGCGGAGGTATTTCGTAGGCTTTCGTAACGAGGTCACAGTAGGCTATTTCATTCCAAGAATATCACTGCACAGTAAGAATTAAAAGCACCAAAACAAATTGTTTATATTATCTTAAATATTACGGTCCTTGATAAATACTCTTATGTTTCAAATACTTAACGAAAACCCTAAAGATAAAATAAACGTATATAACGCAGCCGTGCTAGCATTCGCCTGTGGTCCATATGAATTAAACCTTGTGAGAATGAAGCAGAAGAGTCCATCGCCAGCAAGGAATGAAATATTTATTTTGTTAAGGGCTTTCGTTACTGCGGGCTGTATCGTTTAAATTCTCAATATCCATTTATTCTAATCTCAACAAACGAAAAGGAATAAAACGGATAATCGCGTAAAGACTTAAAGCGGAGAGCCCCCTAATCTCTGAATAAACATTTATGACTGGAATAATTTTCCATTAAGCTTTCCTTTGTATCTTTTAAATTGTCTAAACTGACACATTGCATGTGTAGTTAAAACTAAAATTGACGTAAGAATTTGTCGACCGAAGTCAAGTCGTTGTATCCACTATAATTAAAACGACCTCATTAATTATACTAATATTACATTTCAGAAACTTGTTATTTTACATAATTATAGGTTATCAATATTATTAGGTCATCTTGTACTGCTTCCATAGGTATTTTGTAGAAAAATAGAAATTTGGCTAAAAAGAACGCTGCATATTACGTTGTTGGCTAGGTGAAAGATGTCGGGTACATTCTTGTAAAAAATATGATTGTCAAGTAAAGTTGGTATAGAAAGGATTAAGAGAAGGGGGTTGATGTGAGATGACAATGAGCTGGAACTCTGCATGGCGGCGGGACGTTCTCCACTCAGGACGTGAACTATCACCGATGCCGATTCTGCAAAAAAATAGAAAATTGTACCGCATTTATATGCATTAGTAAAGTGGTGCTTGTATTTGGGGTGTTCCCCTGGGAATCACTTGAACATTGCGATACATTTACAAGACATAATATAGGGTGTCTAGCTTTAAACGGTTTATTAAGTAATTTAACTTTTTTGCCCTAATTTGTAGTGTTCACGATTGCAATTTGTATGGATCTCGCAGAAATAACCGAATTTCAAAGACCTCAAAGCTTCGTCACATACTCATTGACGTTACAACTCAAAGAGCATTGAACCGAAAGCGCTAACTCAATTCGCCCCGTTTTCATTGATTACTAATGACTCAATAAGGTCTCTAGTTCAAATTTTCAACTAAAATGAAAATTAATAAAAAAATCTTACTAATAGTTTATTAACCATGCTTGAAAATATGACTAACTCTTATAAACGTTAGTAAATAAGTCAATTACAGTTTACAAATCTATTGCCTAGAGGATTGGAGAATAGCTGGCAAATGACTCTTTTTTAATCCTCAAGTTTTTTTGTTTTACAGTATACTTGTATGGAGCGGCAACTATTACACGACGCTCCACATATTGAAGAAATCCTAAAGAATATTGAAAGATTATAATGCCAGTTCATTAGAATGCCTATTATTTTCTCAGAATGTTTAATGTGCTAGTTAACATTTCCCCGTATTTAATATTGCCTAAGGAAAACATCTTGAAAAAACCGATTATGTATAAGACCCAAAAGACAATAACGCTTCTCAGACATAATCACCTACATAATATAGAGAAAAATATTATTACTGAAATGTTCCTATAATTACTAATGCTATACATAATTATCATTATTAGAAGCAACTTAGTACCCATACATGTACATTAATAGTTAACATAAAATATTTTTTCTCTTTACAAATACACTCCAATCTCCAAATAGAAAAGAATAACGAAATCTAGCAAAATGAACATTAAAATGTTACGTGTAACACAACTGAAATCCAACTGTAAATATTTGACATTTAAAAGTATCCATAACCTAGGACAACTTGACCTAGAAGGCGCAAGTTTTCATATTTTAGTAAACGTTTCTGAGCAGCTTGCGTTATATAATTTCTTTTCAAATTTTAGTCAGCTTTCTTATTTTTACTATTATGAGTGGTTCATATTTACGCACTAGCTTCCCGGAGCTCACTCGCATGGATTTAGTGTATTTTGGCAATATGTGCGATCTGTTCAACTATAATTTTATTCAATATATTATATACACCACAATCTTCCTTATAATATCCATAGCTATTTAGATAAAGTGTCAAAAAAAAATATTGTAGTTGCTAAGTTTAGCATTCATACAGACAAATAGACGTGTCCCCCAGACACTTTAGTTAGGACAGAAGTATAAACACTATACAGTTATACACTCTGTATTTTAGGTGGAGTATCATTATGTACATGTTTTTTAATGCAAATGGGTAGCCTCTTTGTGATTCTAAATTTTATTGTTCCTGTATATAAGGTACCTAAAATAATTAGTGCGTCAAATCGAAAAGACTACCTGCCCACAATACAGAGAAACCTAGTTTGGGGCTAGTGCACCTTCTATTATAAAGTGGACGCCCCCTGTGCTGGCAACACTCAGTGGAAATAGAAATATACATTTCACAGATGTTTGTACCATTCCCCAATAGCGGATTGGGTTATGTTGTGTAATAGTTGCAGTTACAAGCATCTAGTACAACACATAACTTGGCGATTAAAAAGTAGCAGAGTATTTCTTTCCAGCTCCTCTCGTCCGTTCTACGCCCTCGATTTGAAAACCGGCAGTAAAATATAACTTTTTATTGACTTTCATAAGTATTATTTTACCTATAAATAAATTACGTTTTTATTAATATACTGGTTTAAAATTTCATCGCAAACAAAAGCTATGTTGTGATTTTAAAATTCTAACATAAATATAGGTATACATTTACGCTGCTTCTACTAACGATAAATTTTAATTTCAAACATTGCTTTGTTTCATTGTAACGCACTCACATCCATTTGTTTTTCATACATTGTTATAATACGGCTATGAATATTTCAGTGTGCTGTTGTTTTGTATATAACGCGACCAGACGTTTTAATTTTACTATTTAAAAATTGAATAAAGGTATATTAAGTTGTAAATTTTATAATTATTGTACTATTTTTGAGACCTTAAAGAAACGTCTATGTTAAAAAATCTATTTATCTATACTAATATTATAGAGGTAAAGTTTGTGAGGTTGTAATCTCTGGATCTACTAAACCGATTTTGAATTTTTTTACCGATAGAAAGCCGAAAAATTAAAAGGTATTTATTTTTAAGTAAGTTGGACAAAATACTTTCGAACAGAAGCGATTCTTACGACACGCATGTGTCTTACTTTTATCTATATATAAATAAATATGAATAGCAAAATATGTTGCTAAACGCAAAACTCGAAAACCGCAAGACCAAATCGAGTATTTTACTTTATTTATTCTCTAAAGTTTTTTTATGGAGAGAAATATAAAAAAAATATAGTAAGGTATATAGTTTTTTAAGATTTTCTATGCAAAGTGGGGTCGGTAGTTTTAAATACAATAAAACCGCTTTAACGAATGTAAATGAGAATTTAAAACAAATTTTTTTTTAATTTTCGAGTGCTTGGTGCGGCAGTCTTTCGCTCTCTACAAGTGCTTTTTAGGTATCTTAAAAGTCAGAATTCAATCTTGTTAATTGTTTAATTGTAATTTATTAAAAGGACAACTTGGGGTGTGATGGCTTGGCTCCATAAAATTATGATATTTAGATGTTATATGTATGGTTAATAATAATATTTTATACAATTTGTATTTTTACTACTAATATATGAAAATTAATAAAAGAAATTACCAGAACTGCTAGGTGCACATGTGTAGTTCCCGGAATCGTGCGGTGCTGCGCGAGCGATCAAGAGGCGGCTTGTACGCGTGCGCTGTTCCGTTTCCACGCTGATGCCTCCGCGCTGAGCGTAGTTCACAACTTGCTCTCCACGGTACCAGTAGATAAAGCTATAAAAATAAATATTTTACATTCTATTTATTACCATATCTAATGTAGGTACTACATTTCACACGAGTTTGTGCGTAAGATTTTTTAAATATTCTGTGTATAAAACGCTAAGTCGTTTTGTTCGTTATTTAAATATTGCGATGTGAGCTAACTTCACATAACTCGCATGAAAAACGCGGGAAGAAAGATTATTTGTTTGTTTATCCGAATATTAAATTTGTTCCAAATGACCTTACATTGTGTAACTTTTGGCCGCATTTCCCGAAAGAGATATTGCACCACAACAAAAGCCTCCGATAAAATTATTTCTGCTTCAAGAATGCAATTTTATTGGAGATACATCAGCTATTTATAAATTGATATGACATTTTAAAAATTCTGAACTATTTCAGTATTTTATAATATTTGCAATAGATCGTAGTCTATTTATAAATTCTAGTTAATTTAAGATTATTTCATGTATACATATACTAAAAGATAAGTTTAAATGCTAAAAAAGTAAAAATGTGTTTATTAATTATAAGTAGATATGCATATAATGTGTATAATTGGGACACCTTTCAAGAAAAAAATAAGTACATGTATCAGGATTCCCAGCTGTTTATATTATTAATATAATTGTAATTACTATGAAACGTACATTATGCATGCGCCTAATATTTGAATGAATATATTTCGATAGTTAAGCGAAATTTATTTGACAATGTTTATTTTTATTCTTAAAAATGATAACTACGAAACTATGGCGCATGGGCTAAACGCAATTCGCTAATATAAGGCTAAGTTAAATCGAGACTAGCGCTAAGGGGTGGTATAAAATCCAATACGTTTTAGACTTACGACAGTCGATACTTCTCGCCTAGCCTAGAATCTTCTCTTAAACTGTATTAAGTAATCAATTAAATATTTATTATTTTAACGTAAATATATGACATAATATATGTCTCCATAACTCGTTTAGCAACGATAAGTGTCTCCTTGAATAATTAATAGCTTAGTCAACTTTTACGATATAATTACTTTAATTGCTATCCAAGCAACGAATATTATAACGTTTAATCTGCGTAGTCTTGTATCTAAGAGAAAATTAATTAGCAAAAGCAATTAATTTGCTTTAACGATTTGTCGTTCTAAACTTATATTCGATAGCTAACCAAAATATATGTCACGTAATAGATAAATGAGAATGTAATGTAGAGAGTAACGCAAGTGTGCACTTAGAAAGCGTACAATATTATTGAACATACATACTTTAAAGATTTGTAAAAATGGAAGATTCCGATTTATCAATACCGTATACTTATCTAGAATTGGCTTATCATAATAAAAATTGAAATGCCTTACTTTTGTATTAATCCCCGATATTAATAATAATTCAATTTTGCTCTTTATTTTTAAAACAATGATAATAAAAGGATGCCTTGAAAACAGTACATTGGAGAAACGACTTGTCAAGATAACATGCAAAATGATATAATGTGATAAATTTAATTACGAATGGTACTTATATTATAATTAAGATAAGATGGTTTTAGTTTAGAAATTGTTCAATTCTATATTGTGTTTTGTAAACTTAGTTACTTACTTACTATGCAGGATTATGCAGCCACTAAATTCTTTTGACTTTTTTTAAACTAATTCTACTTACAGATCTTAAAACATATTATTAACACATTAATTTATGGACAATATTATTAAAATTAATATTATTATATGTCGCGAGTATGTTCTAATAAGAACTTGAGATGCTTAGAAGACATCCTTTGTTTGTTGAAATTAGTTTTGTAATGCATTACATTGAAGTGGTAATAAATAAATATAAATCGGTGTACTAAGACTGTTTTACTTAAGTTCTCGTTTAGTACCGTAAGGTTACGTCTAAAGCTATCATACAAAAGCGGTAAATTATTTCCACCTAGAAACATTTCCTCACTGATGAATACAATTTACTACATGACTAGGCAAACAGTATGAGCACGCATGTTTGGGGCAATACGAATCAATTGAACGTTAACAGGACACATCAAAAGCAAATAGGCTAAATTAACTGTATTCATACACAAAATTCAGCACTCCAACCAGGTTATTGGATATTGTTACTTGTGTTACAAATATTATTATATTTCAAATACGTTCTGGAATAACAAATGGCTTTCGTTACGTTTTAACTCCGGCACTGTACTCGTAAATTTAGTGCATTAAGTGATCATAGAAGTGATCACCTGCTTGCCTATGAAGATAAATATTCAATAAACACAAGCAAAAACAGCAAGTACAAATATATCAGTAAGTTTCGGTAGATAGCTAAACAGAAAGTCAAAACTTCAAACATCTATTTGCAGCTTAAGAAAAGTCTTTCAAAGTTGAATTTTGTCGAACTTTACTGTTGTATGTAGGCCTTACTTGCTTCTAAGTTTTTGTTGATTTCGAATTTTCTATGAAATTCTGGTTAAAACCCAATATTTAACGTATCGATTTTAGTAATAAAAATTTACCGATACTTATCTGAGCAGACTGTATAATGTAGTGTAAGTAAGCTACATTACCACTCATCAAACAAATCAATAGTGGAATCTATCAGCAACATATTTAGAACTAATTTATTTCAATCTCCAGTTGAAATGAGTTGAGCTGGTCCATTTAGTACTTAGCTTTAATTTAAATTGTAGGGTTATTGTAATATTACTAGCGATCCATAGCTTTACACTACTAAATATAATACATTCGGATTAAAACGCGTTTAGTTACACTAATTTCTAAAAATTTCATTAAAGTATGGTGTATGTAAATGTTTATGATAATGCCAATTACTCGGTATTTTTAAGACATTCGTGATTACTCGCGATGTTTTGATTGACCACACGAATAATCTCTATTTTCTTCTATTATTTGCGTATGTTGTTATAAAACCGGTCTATTAACCCAAGAATCGGACATGTGATAGGCGTTGAACGCTGATCGCAGTTGTTTTTAATGAATATGATATCAGGTACATAAATCTTAGGGCAATACATTTACGCGATATTAGCGTAATTGAATTATTACTAGCTATATTCCTTAATCGGAATATCTCAAAGCAAGACTTCTAATATACGAAGGCTTATTACGAGCACTCTTTATATAACCTCACTTCGCATATTACACCTTATAAACTTTCCTTACCATAATGAACCTATAAATAACCACATCAATGTCCTTGTTAGTATTATGCGGGCTTGTTCAGTATGTGAATTGCCCAGTAGCGAGGGCTAGAAGCGTATATAAACTAGACTATTAAATATGTCGCACTGCCGGTCTTTCGTAAGCTCCACGGCTATAAAGTACAAAGCTCCCTCGAGGTTCGAAAGTATTACTTTGAATTTAAGGCATGTTCTAAATATTGCTTAAAATAATTAAAAAGGATTTTATGGGGCAATGTGTTTCAGTATCGCAATAATTTTGTTAATTTAGGATGAACGCCGTGGCACCCTCTTATAAAGGCAAGCTTTTATAAAGTGAGTGAACTAAGAATTAAGTGATTTATAAAAAAAAACAATTTGGAATATATTTTTATTGTATTAACGTGGTATTTCATTTTGCTGAATTTTATCTTTGTGAGTTTTATTGCTACTTAGAATGTTTTCCTAGAAACATTGGGAACCTTTTGGGAACTCGAGCTTCTTTAATAAGGATAATACAAATTTTTATTGTACGATAACTTGTAATTTTCCGATTAAATAAATAATTATCATTGATTTAATAAAGAGTAGTGTTCGTTGTACTGCTCTTATTTAATTAAAGAACAGCGTTGCAGTTCTTACAAGGCCGGCACCGCACTCGCGAGTCATGGGTTGTTTGTTTATAGGCGGCGGATTACTTATACTAAAACCCAATGTTTTATAAAAAGAACCATAAAACATAAAATTAATATAAACTCATAATTATTCATATTACGGTGGAAGTTCGCTATATAACTTTATTGCAGTTAACGACTAATTGAAATAGCCGTAATGGCTTTTAATTGCATCTTGGTTGATCCTCTTTATTATTTAATAAAAGGCTTATGAAATGATTTGAAACTGAAATTCATATAGTTTTCCCGGAAATTGACCAAGTATTTCATTGGTTTGTTTGATTTTAAATATAATTTGGGGCAAATTTATTCATAAATTATAATAATACTTTTTACGTTTACGGAGCAAGTTTTAGGTATCTCCACAATCAAACATTAGGACCCCAATGCAAAGCCAGCACATCACAAAAAACTATACAGATATTGTTAATAGTAAAAATATAATATTTTGGCAATAAAAAAATAACAAGAGAATATATATTTCAGAAGCAGTTCCTAGTTACATACATTGAATTACCTGATGAAAAATATTCCTCGCAAACAGTATCACTCTATCAATATTCAAATTGAAGGCTCGGTGGGCTCTCAGACACATGGTTCCATTAAATGGCGATAGGCAAAGAATACTTCACTTAGGGACCCCGACCCTTTTATCAAAAAATAAGCTTATCGTGTTTATGGATGCGAGCTCTGAATACCAGCGGAGAATCTACATGGCATTACCACTTCATTTATATATTGTAATAAGGCGGTAATTTACTTCTACCCTTATTTTATGAACATACACAGAGTTTATTGAATCGTTATTATATATTAAACTACCTTGAAGTATTCTATTGCAGGCTTAACATATATTATTTACAATAACTACGTTACATGAGGCGTGTCATAGATTGACATAACGTAAAATTCAAACTAAAAGTTACCTCCTAATATAGATTCAATATGAAAGGTCCACCTGAACAGACAGTTCTACAATTCCTTATTTAAAATTAGCCTTGAGTTGATTACATTCCAAATACAAACTTTCAAATCAACTAACTATACCTGTAAGTTGATCAAATGATGTAGGTTTGACGTTTAATCTGCACTTACCTCGGCGGGTCTGGGGCGTGTTTCGCAACGCAAGTGAGATTGATGTCCGATCCTGCCCTGACGAATAGCTCTGGCCCTGATAGGATTTCTGCTTTCGACACTGTTGGATAACGTTATTGATCGATTTTATAACAATAATCACTTTTTATTTAATATATCGTGTTATGTGTGTGGAAAAAACGATGTATGATTTTTTTGAGTATTTAAGACGCTACAACTTTGCATTTGTTTAGTATCTGTATATGCCAACAAATATGAACTATGATTCCTGTATGTCAAAGATAAGTTTTTCACATACGGATATCTTATTTAGCGATAAGTCTCGACTTTAATTTAAGTAAATGCCTACGTATTTGCTTACGATTTCCTTTTAATACCCAAAGCACTTTTTGGTTTTACATGTTTATCAATTAATATTTTTCGTGTTAAGTCACTCCGGTCCATTTATTATATTACAGAATAATTCTGATAGTATATAAAATTCTTGATTGAATGACGAAAATAGCAATGTCGGTAAGAAGGTGAATAGATCTAACTACCCACATCAAAAAGTTCTTTGAGGCTTAGCAAAGAAATGAGGTCTAAGCCTTTTATCTTAAGAGTCCGAAGATAATTTTGAATTTTTGACAGCTCTTTGATGATTCTTGTGTAGACAAAATTGGACATCTTTAACTTCATTAGTCACGTTTTAAATTTAATTTCTTATGTATTATGTATATATCATACTTGTTATGAATTTAAAAATAATGTAGTAAATAAATGGTAGATGGACAAATATAAAAGTCAATTTAAAATGACTGTCGGTATCTCTGTATCTGTTGTTGACGATACAGTCAACTATAATATTATTGTGAGACATACAACATATTATTGTGAGATTTTACTATTATATTTGTACAGCACATATTCAGGCATTCCTTTATTAAACATCTAGCTAAACAAAATGATGAAATTTGAATATAGCTTACCTACAACAGTAAGTCTAAATGACAGACTTATTTTAGGCTCAGTAGACACTTGGCATTCATAGACACCAGAATCCCGAGGCTGGGCGGGCGATACCCGAAGGGTCCACTCGTCTGACCCATCCGCATGAAGTGCCGCGAATCGAGCATCGCTACTGTATGTGTGTACTCCCACCGTCAGTATGTGTAGGTCCCTCTTGCGTATCCATGATACCTGAAATAAGGCAAACTTTAAGGTTTCTCATTACACGGCCCACGTAAAGGGACTTGATGTTTTAACTTTAGTCGAATTGAATTTTTAATGTGAATAATAATTTAAATTAGCTAAGTTTTGGTATACTGTACACGCACTTCTTCTGTTCGTACTGAGGAAAGATAAAGGCTGACCGTCTTATTTATAAACATACCAAGCATCTTATGTTGATTTAATAGCTTAAAAGCAACTGGTAACAGAATTTAGTTAATAGTACAGTGACATTAGAGTGTTATTACAACAACAAAACATTGATTACCCTTTCAAACTTGTATTATTAATGAATGAGACAATTGGAGGACAACTTAACGTTTAGTACGTTCGAAACAACACGAGCGCAACCGTTAACTTACTTTAAGCTAAATGTTTACAGCAGAGAAACAGTATTTATCATATTTTAAAATTCACCAATATGCAGGCAGACACATATTATATAAATTAAAGGCATCTTAATATCTCACCGTCCACAATCTAAAAAAATGGTCAAAGGACTGCCTTATGAACACACCTTACGTAGAGTTGGAGATGCTCCCGAGAGTTTTAAAATAATGTAACATAACATGTAGTTACACATTACACTCACTCATTCACTCACATGCATCCACACACTCAATCACTTACGCGTGTTGTGTAAACAGTTAATACATTTTGTTATGGAATTAACTTTTAAGTTTGTTATGGTAGAGCTGGGAACCCTGACACAGGTATTGCATAATTTGCATTTGCATATAATGCATCTTACACATTGTAATGCACTGTTTATAATAAACAAACACACTTTTAATTTATTTATTTTATCTCAAAGGTTCACAAACAAATACAATCAACAAAAAGGTTTCAAGTTGAATCATATATACCAAAACCAAACATTTAAATACAGGATCGATGAACTAAATGTTGTGGTCATGGCGATATCTGTAATCTACTCGTATGCGTAGAAAAGTTATCGACAATTGCAAAATTTTCGTTTGCATAAAATTATTTTAAGCATAACTGTTAGTTAAAGATATTGCTACAATATACAATTTGCGAGCCTTAACTGGATCTGCAATGCCAGTAATTAAGACAAGTCGATGAACATTTTGCATAAATTAATATCTACTCTTCATTAACTTGAAACTTTCAGGTACTTTGAAGAAGACATATTTACTGTACTGGAGTGTTTTACTTTCTCTTCATTCTGCGCTATTTTAATACTTATACAAAAACTTTCTTTGTTATTGAACGGTACTGCTTAGTACAGAAAGTATATCATATAAAATAATTAGACTAATCTTTTATCCAATGTTGTCTTTCTTACTGACAAATTGTGTATACGCTGTGATGAAAAGAGACAGACGACTTTAGTTATAATAATGCAGTTACACTGATTTATTTGTTATAATTTAAGTTTTTATTAACAATCTAAACGATCTTATTTGTTTGTATGTGAAAAACTTTGTATTTTTAATTTTTGTTAGAAACATCATAATATGTCAATGATAATATTGTAATAGCTATACGATAAATTTGTCTTTTTATTGTTTTGTGTACACGTAAGGAAAAGATTGATCATACATCACTCATGATTCAGTGGTTGTTATTTCTGCGTGGCTAAAATAATAAGAATAATTTTGTGTTAAATAAAAGTATAAAGCCCGAACTTTTCGCTTGTAACAAAGTCGTTTTAAATATCTCCGTACAACAGCAATTGAAATTAATTTATGATTATTAGTTTTCATTCAACATTCACGTGAAATAAGAATTTTAGGAATATATTTAAGTAAACAGATTAGGTTCAGACATGATTGATCCGATAATAACATTATAAATGTGTCTGGAAAAGTCGAGACAAATCATCCAAAAAGCAAATATTATTCATGATGTATTGCTAACATAAACCGTAATATTATTATCTTATTTTACGTAACACGGCTTTATGATTTTATCTTGTTGACATTACTGTATTGAATTATAATTTTATTATGACCAAATAAGTTAATTTGTAAAAAAGGATATGATAATTACGAAGCCTTTATTTCGTTGACTGATCTGTTCAACTGTCGATTTATGTACACGTTCGTGACTAGTTAGGGACATACCTTCGATTACCTTTGTACCAATGAGTTTTATTTTTAAGGGCACAAATGATACTTGCTCCTACAGTGAGGTGAAACGGTGAGGTGTGCGTCTTATTTGTAATATTCTAATGAAACGATTTACAAATACTACTTACCTTAATTTCGTGGAATGAAAATTGCTTTGAAATTTCATAGAAATTTCATCGCATACTTAATTTGTAATATTTCAGTGGAATATTGCACAAATACCGACAACAAAAAGGGTCAATATGGCAACAGTTCGATATTATAAATTAGTGTAATTATAAATTATTAGCTGTCAACCTGATATAACGGTCTCTCGCTATAATTGGTAAAAGCCCAAAACGTCACGTTCTATAAATAAATTTATAATTCCCGTTTATTTCAAATTTTTAGAGGGCATTTTAAGACAATATTAACATGTGGGGGGGTGCTACTTGTGGTGACTGGTCGGACTTGAATCGGCTATGTATTAATTATTTTTAACTAGATAAGTGTTAGCTTGTTGAGGTAAAACGTTCGGTTCCTTATTTCTTCTTTGTTCATTATTTTTAATTTAATTACAATATATTTTTTTAAGATATGACAAGGAGCATGATGTAATGGTTGCAGGTGCTTACAAACATTTTGTAAAAAAAAACTCGCGATTAAAACGAGTGACGGCGAGTTTATCGTCATATCTTCTCTTCCGTTCTCCGCCCTAGAACTGGCCGTAAATGTAAATTTAGATGGATTAATTTTTTGCTGATGTTCATATTATAGGTACTTTACGAGTTACCTATATTAACAAAATTATATTTTCATTTTGATTTGGTTTTAAGTATTATACTGAATACCTTTTATTATATTTGTAAAATCAAAAACTTAAACAGCTTTCAATTACACTAAAGTCCATAAATTTCACACAAATTAAAATAAATGTTAATGATATTGTAGTAATTTGTAGCTACAGAAGTTAATGTTATATTGACACGCACAGTTATAAAAATTATTTAGGCAGAAGCTATATTTTGTTATTACTGGTTTTGGTGATTACTAATTAATTAAGATATTGTATTATGTTTTACACAACTACATTATAGAAATAACCGACTAGCCGACGAATCAACGCGTAAAGTAAAGAATTACAACTATTTCAATCAATGCTGCTTTTCCAATTATATTTTTAATACTACATTAATAACCATGTTGGCTTAGTGGATAAATGACGTTATTTATTTTTTTCTATATACGTAATCAACTTGTATGGTAAAAGTAAACATCGTGAGAGAACTGGTATGTCTTATACTTACCGCAAAATTGATCGAAGATCGATCACCCACTTTCTGTTACAATAAATATGGTAAAACAAATATTTGCAATCTAAAGCCAAGCCCCAAAATTTATGCGCTATTAACATACATACCGCAGAAATGAAAAATTGTTCATCTGGCCTAAGCATATCAAATTTTGTCGTGTTTATTATCACAGAAATAAGAACTCGATTTTTTGATGTATATATAATATGTCGGAGCAATGGCGCTAGTGTCGGCTACCATTGATGATGATATTAATTTATCCCTAATGTGAAAGGCAAAGGACTTTAATCCATACAGCCAGGTCTTGTTCTACCTCGGCTACCATTGTCATGTAACTCACAGAGCTCATAAATTAACAACGTCGTAGTCTTTTTCCCATGACCTTGAACACTTGTAGTTTTTGTCGATTGCCAATTGCCAATATTACTAGATCTACAAATTAACAACTTTTTGATAGTCTATAGTAATAGTAATTTCATAGTTATTATTATTAATGTCGGAGCAATGGCGTTACTGTCAGCTGCCATTGTCATTATATGTCAGAGAGCTCGTAAATTATCAAGGTCAAAGTCAAATTAGTTCAAAACCATTAACACTAGTGGTTAATTTGATTTGTCAATGTTGCTAGATCTATAAATAAACCAAATAATAGTGACTCTATTATTTAAAGTTTAAACCTTTGAAACTTAATGACAATCTATATTAAACTAATCGGGTTCGTTCGCAAATGAGTACACGAAATGTCACGAAACTTGTTTATCACAAATTCCTATAAATACAGTTCAGTTCTATACTCAGTTCGATTGAGCGGTCGAACCAAGCAGATGCACTTACAAAGATAATGTCGTAATTAAACTAATTTTTTGACGTCAGCAGTGTTGACGTCATTATCTTCAATAACTTATCTGCAAATCCATTTTTTTTTAAATCAGGTCGTGCTTTCTCGTTATTGTATAAGGTATTTTAACTAAAGCTGGCGGCTTCAACACATTTACACTTTGTGCTTGTGTAGTGTCTGTGAATAAGCGCGAGACGTAATGTCAAACTGAAATACAATCATAAATACATCATGAATAAACTGTCCGTCGTGTATGAGTGGACTAAAATGTATAGCATGGCAAAAAAATCATATTTTGAAACATACTGTATGTGAAATTGCATTAGTGTGAGTACTGTGAACCCGCCAGCTTTCGATAACCGACTTATACTTAGTACTCCTTTCCCGTTCAAAATGTCTGTACATATCCTGTCATGTGTCATACCCTCTTTTTTCGTCGATTGTCTACGTCATTCTTTCGTGTTATCTTATCTCACTCTATAACTTATAATACTAATATAGCAACTTTTGTTACTAACCTATTTAATTTTATCTTTACTATGCTTGAAACGATACCTAGACAAGAACAATCCATCTTCACATTACACAGTTTACTTCAACCAGATTACGCACGCGAAGCAGGAAAATTGTGCTGAAAGGCTTCCTGACCTATTTTCCAATTCTTCAATTTATAGCGTATCGAGAGTTCTACTAGATTTATATTTGCTACGTTTTGCTGCGGGGCTTAAAAGTTTCTTTTCGCGT